CCGGTAGATTCCCCCAGTACTGGGTATTTACATTTGGGACTACGGAACGGGATTCCGGTAGATTCTCGCGCACTATGAGTTGGACTACGGGACGGTATCCCAGGAGATCCACTGGATATTTAAAGATGGGACTACAGGACGGTATCCTGGGAGATCCTCGATTGTTACTATCGGTGCTGAGTTGTATTTCCTTTCCATGTCTACCTTGTTCTGTATAGTTGTTGTTGTTCTATTCACCCTGTGTTATTTTACTGTTGTAGTCATTTATATTGTTTTGTTCTATACTGTTAATTTTTATATCTTATTTGACCTCAGTAGGGCCCTGACCTTCATCGTCACTACCCAACTGAGGTTATTCTTGGCACTTACTAAGTACCGCTGTGGTGTATTCATGCCTCTTCCGCGCATGTGTTTTCATGTGCAGATCTAGGTACCACTGATCAAGCCTACTATCGTTGAGGGAGGCGACTGTGTAGAGACTCCGAGGTACATCTGCCGCGTCCGCAGACCAAGGAGTCCCTTTCTATTCCTGCCTTTAGTATTTAACCCTTCTGCACTTTTTTGTTCTTTATTAGAAATTCCAGAGTTAGAGATATGTAGTATTTCTTTCTTAGCTTGTGATTCATGGGTTTCCGGGTCTTGGATTTATGTTTGGTATTGAGAGTTAAACATGGAGTATGCCGAGCGGCACATTTACACACAATTATTGCTTTATTCTGTTTTTAAATTGTTTTACTTCCGCAAGTTTGGTTATCTTCCGCAAATTTAGGCTTACCTAGTCGTAGAGACTAGGTGCCGTCACGATGGCTCACGGAGGGCGAACCGGGGTCGTGACATTAGAGCTATTGGGCTAGGCTTTCTGGGGTCTATGCTAGTGTATTGGGTCCAAAATTAACTCAAAGATCGGGCCATGGTTTACGTACATAAAAAAATATTATAAATAATTTATAAAAAGGTAATTAATAAATAATAAAATTTTATTATGTAGTAATTGCTTGAAAATAATAGATTAATATTATAAAAATATAAAAATGCTATTAAAGCATAAGTAATGTAATAAATATAATTATGTATAGAATATAGGCTATTATTGCAAAAATTATGTAAATAAATCAAAAATACAAATATAATTATGTGAAATTAAGAAAAATATTATAAAACATATATGTGGATGTAACTAATAAATTTGGATGATTAAGTCATCATAAAATAATTTGAAAGGATAATTAATAAATATTTGAGCAATTTAAATGCAAGAAAATCAATTTTAAAGCTTTAAAAATTATGGGAAATTACGAAACCTACTTATATGACTCTTATGAACTGGGTAATAATACAAAATAATATTTTAAAAGTATATATAATATTTTATAAAATATAAAGGCAAAATTGGGTGTCAACAACAGGAATTTAGACATGCTTCCAAATATAATAGTTACAGTCCAACACGGATAAGAACAATTTCATTTACTAGCTAGCATGAGTAAAATATATCTCTATGCCTACTTGTCAAATATACATATCACGTTCATGATTTCACAGTGATATCCTCAAGTACTCTCACTCTCAGCTCACTCAAAGTACCTGACTCAAATGCCCATTTCATCACACACATACATCAATGCCCCTTACCGAAGCACGTGTATATATCACTATGCATGCGCTCACTGCTGGTATGTCAGACACCGAAGGGGCAGATCCTGCCCAAGCACTAATCAAAATCCAATATGGCATGTTGCGGCGTGCAACCCGATCCAAATAACAATGAAGCCAATATGGCATGTTGCAGCATGCAACCGAACCCAAATAACACTCTCAACACGGCTCTAAGGCCCACCTCAGTCATCACCCTCTCAAGTCTCAAGGCTCACAATTTCATATCACTCAGCCCAAAGAATTTCACATATGGAAAGAAAACAACAGTACATGATGTAATGATGAATAATGTATAGAGTATGAGATGTGATATGCAAATGAAGAATCACAACTGAATGTATAACTCAGTTAAGTCAAAAAGCTCAAGATAACAGAAATAGCCTCATTAGGTCTCAATCAAATAACCACACAACCTAAACATGATTTTTAACATGAATCAGAACTCACATAATCCAACAAGTAGGGAAAACATGAATATCACAAAGTATGATAGCAAAATAGTGTAAAAGTCAACTCGAATCATGACTACTTTGGTGCACGCACACACGCTCGTCACGTAGCATGTGTGTCACCCCAATACATATCATATAACATGGTTCCCAATGATGATTAGCCTCAAATCCAATTTTTGATATGTTAATTAACTCAAAACGCGCAACTCAATACTCCAAAAAGCCCTTCCCACGCGAATCGGCCTTCGGACGACTCGAATCTAGTCACAAACAACTTAATATCATCAAATAATGCCGTAGGAAACAACTTCAAACAATAAACCTTCAATCTTTATAAAAATCAAAAACAACAACAACAATAACAACCACAACAACAAGCCCAGTATTTTTCCACAAGTGGGGCCTGGAGAGGGTAAGATGTGTGCAGCCTTACCCCTACCCTAGAAGGACAGAGAGACTATTTTTGATAGACCCTCTGCTAGAGAACGGATGATAAAAGTAATGGCAACAAGAAGGAATAACAACAAGATAAAAATATTGAAGCCAAAAAAGCAGTTAAACTCTAGGTAATAATAGCAATCTATGAATAAAAGGATATCATACTAACACTAATACTAGCGAACTTGGAAAGACAAAGAGATATGCTCGACTACCTACTAGCCTTCTATCCTAATCCTTGACATCCACACCCTCCAATCTAGGGCCATGTCCTCAGCTAACTCCAGCTACGCCATGTCCTGCCTAATAACCTCGCCCCAAGACTTCTTAGGTCTATCTCTACCCCTCATAACCCACTGAGGCTTCTTAGGCCTACCTCTAACCTCTCGCACCTTCTGACTGGGGCTTCTATACTTCTCCTCTTAACATGCTCGAACCATCTCAACCTCGCCTCCCGCATCTTTTCGTCCAAAGAAGCCATTCCCACCTTATCCCGAATAACTTCTTTCCTAATTTTATCGAACCTGATATGCCCACACATCAATCTTAACATCCTTGTCTCAGCTACTTTTATCTTTTGGACATGAGTGTCCTTGACCAGCCAACACTCTGCGCCATACAGCATAGTTGGCCTAACTAAAACTTTGTAGAACTTATATTTAAGTTTCAGCAGCACATTTTTATCACAACAGACACCGGAAGCGAGCCTCTACTTCATCCATCCAGCTCTGATACGGTGTGTGACATCCTCATTAATCTCCATGTTACCTTTTATTATAGATCCAATGTACTTAAACTACCTCTTTTGGGGATAACTTGTATATCAAGCTTCACCTACATGTCAGCTTCCTAGGTAACATTGTTGAACTTGCACTACAAGTATTTCGTCTTGGTCCTGTCTCAACTTGAGACCCTTAAACTCTGGGATCTGCCTCCAAACCTCTAGCCTCTCATTAACACTACCCCACGTATCGTCAATCAGAACTATGTCATTAGCAAATAACATACACCATGACACCTCTCCTTGAAAATGTCGCGTCAATGTGTCCATCACCAAGGAAAACAAAAATGGGCTAAGAGTTGAATCCCTGGTGCAACCCCATCACAATCGGAAAGTGTTCTGAGTCTCCTCCCGCCGTCCTAACCCGAAGCTTAGATCCATCACACATGTCCTTAATTACCCTAATATAGGCTAATGGGGCCACTTTAGCTTCCAAGCATCTACAAAGCACCTCTCTCGGGACCTTGTCATAAGCGTTTTCTGGGTCAATGAACACCATATGCAAGTCCTTCTTCATTTCCCTACAACGCTCCACCAATCTCCTTACCAAATGAATAGCTTCCATAGTAGAATGCCCCGGCATGAAACCAAATTGGTTCTCATAAATAGACAAATCGCTCCTTACCGTCACTTCAACCACCCTCTCCCAAACTTTCATCGTATGGCTAAGCAGCTTAATCCCCCTATAATTATTACAACTTTTATATCACCCTTGTTCATATACAACCGAATCATCATACTTCACCTCCATTCTTCGAGCATCTTTTTCGTCATAAATATCACATTGAACAGCCTAGTGAGCCACTCTAAAACCTTCCCTACCCACATTTTTTCAAAATTTCACAGGGATTTCATCTGGCCTGATTGCTCTACCCATGTGCATTTTGTGCATAGCCCCCTCGACCTCCTCTACTCTTATGTGCCTATAGTATCCGAAATCCCAGTGATCCTCGGAGTGCTCCAAATCGCCCAGCACAGTATTACTGTCACCCTCTTCATTCCAGAGTTTATGGAAGTATGTCTACCATCTTCGTCTAATTTGAGCCTCTTCCATCAAAACTCTACCTTCCGCATCTTTGATGCACTTAAACTTGATCCAAATCACAGGCCTTCCTCACTCTCACCTTGACTAGCCTATATAAATTCTTCTTCCTACCTTTGGCCCCAAGATCTTCATACAGACACCCAAACCCCGCAGTCTTAGTCGCCATAACCGCTAACTTTGCCTCTTTCTTAGCCCTCTTATACCTCTCCCCGTTCATCCTCTTTTCCTCCTCGTCCATGCTCTCTACAAGCTTCAAGTATGCGCTTTCTTAGCTTCCACTTTCTCTTGTACCTCATCACTCCACCACCAATCACTATTGTGGCCGCCAAAGAAACCCTTCGATATCCCTAACACCTCTCTCTTAGCTAATCTAATAGACTCCGTTGTCGTGGTCTACATACAGCTCATGTCCCTACTTCTCCTCCAGGCTCCCATAGCTAGCACTTTCTGCCCCAACTCCTGTTCTTTGTCATAAGTCCAAATACCCCATCTGATCCTAGGTTGACCATACACAGCCATCTTCTTCCTCTTCTTCATGATCTCTAAGTCCATCACCAATAACCTATGCTGAGTCATTAGATTCTCGCTTGGTATAACCTTGCAATCCATACACAGACCCCTATCACACTTCTGGGGGAGTAGTAAATCAATTTGAGTCTTGGCAAACGAACTCTGGAAGGTGACCAAGTGCTCTTCCCTCTTTTGAAAATATGAGTTAGCAATCACCAAATCAAAGACTTTAGCACTGTCCAACAGCGAAGTACCACCTCCGTTCCTAACTCCAAAGGCAAAGTCACCATGCACACCGTCATAACACCCAGAGGTCGCCCCAATGTGGCTATTGAAATCTCCTCCTATGAATAACTTCTCGTTGTGCGGAATTCCATAGACCAACCCGTCAAGGTATTCCCAGAAATGCCTTTTAACCTCCTCATCCAAACCCACTTGAGGTGCGTAAGCACTAATCACATTTAAAGTAAACCCTCCCACATCCAGCTTACTAGCCATCAACCTGTCACTCACCCTCGTACCTTCTATGACTAGATCCATAAGATCCCTATCAATAAAGATACCTACTATGTTCTTACCCCTCTCACGTCCTGAATACCACAATTTAAACCCATCCGCATCTCGAACCATAGAACCCACCCATCTAGTCTCCTAGGCACATGCTATATTGATCTTCCTCTTCTGGAGGGTCTTCACTAACTCTATTGACTTCACTCAAAAACTCAACCTCGGGCATGCACCCCAAAACACGGTCAAACTCATAAATTCTGATTTCTCAATTGATTATGAGTTTAACCAAACTAATTTCATCCAATTCTGACCTCAAATCGACCTTCAAATCCTCAATTTTCACTTTAGGAAAGTTTTTACTGAAATACCCCATTTCTTCACTTTAATTCACCAATTAAATGCTAAAACCAAAGATGGAATCATGAAAAATGAAAATGAATAAATCCAAGTGAAAAATACTTTTCTCGACCCAAATCATGCTAATCCTCTCCAAAATCGTCCCAAATCGAGCTCTCCAACTTAAAATGTGATATAATAACTCAAACCCTCGAAATAGAGTATTAAATGGTGCCTAGGCACACTTATCGGCAATGCAGGACCACCATCGCATTCGCGAAGATAAAAAATACACTGCCTAGAAAAAGGCCTTCACGTTCGCATTCTCCATATCGCGAACACGATGAAGCAAACATCCAAGCCTTCACGAACGCGGCCCGGACCTCCCGAACATGTAGGATAAGCTCCTCCGAGCACTTGGCTGCTTCACGAACGCGAAGCTCTATAGCAAATGTGAAGCTCTATAGCGAACACAAATCTCTACCGCGAACGCGAAGTAGGGAGACTGCCACCCCCCTTTAACCCATTGCGAACCCGACCACCATGTCGTGAATGCGAAGAAGGAAGCTAGACCTAAGAACCTCAGTAGTCCAAAACAAGGTGGAACAGTCTGTAGCCGATCCGAAACACACTTGAAGCCGCCAAAATCTCATCCAAACACACGAACCAATGCCAAACATAACACAAACCTATTCGAGGCCTCAAATAACACCAAACAACATCAAAACCAAGAATCGTATCACAATTCAAGCCTAATGAACTAGTGAACTTTCAACTTCTAAAATTCGTGCCGAACCATATCAAATCCACTCCGAATGACATCAAATTCTGCATGCAAGTCCCAAATTATACAATGGATCTATTCCAACTCTCAAGACAAAACTCCGAACCCGATATCAACAAAATAAACTCTTGATCAAACCTCTCACCTTCCAAACCTTCAAATTTCCACATTTCGCCAAAAAGCTTCAAATCAACATACGAACCTCCAAGTCAACATCCGGACATATGCCTAGGTCCAAAATCACCATACGAAGCTATTGAAACCATCAAAGATTTATTCTGGAGTCGTATACATAATAGTCAATCTCCGATAAACTCTTTCAACTTAAGTTTCCAACCTTGGGACTAAGAGTCCCAATTCACTCCGAAATTTCCCTGAAACTAATCCAACCATCCCGACAAGTCACATAACTACAGATGAACATATAAGTGAAAATAAATAGGGGAACAGGGCTACAATATACAAAATGGCTGGTCAAGTCGTTAAATTCTCCCCCTCTTAAATAAACGTTCATCCTCAAATAGGTCTAAAATCATATCCGGTGCCTCAAATGGGTGTGAATATTTGCTCTGAATCTCCTGTTCGGTCTCCCATGTAGCCTCCTCGACTAGCTGACCTCTCCAATGTACCTTCACTGACGCTATATTCTTTTACCTCAACTTCTGAGCCTACTGGTCTAAAATGTCACCAGCTCCACATCATAAGTCAAATCCCCATCTGGCTGCACCGTGTTGAAGTACAAAATATGAGACGGATGACCATAAAACTTTCGGAGCATCGAAATATGAAACACTGGATGAACCCTTGATAGACTAAGTGGTAATGCAAGTCTGTAGGTTATTGCCCCCATTTTTTTATGAAAGCGGGTTTCGACATGTGACAACTCTTTTAAGGGTATTTAAAAGAGAAAAGTCGCCATTTAACGATTTTGAGGTGCGTTAGGGCACCTATTTGCAAACATATCTGATTAAGACTAGTATATATCACCAAATATCAGGTAAGGGTTCAAGTTACCTCAAAGAGAAGGTGTTAGGTACACTTCGAGGTCCACAAATGTAAGTCCCGACCGATTTTTAAACTATGTGAGAATAATTGTGTTAAACTAAGTTGTAGGTTTCTAAGTTGTTAATTAATCCTAAGTGGTCAAGTATGCAAATCAACTGAAAACAAATAATAACTTAAAACTAGTCATGGAAGGAATTAAAACACGTAAAGTGTTGTAATAAATATTATAGCAGAAAAGCCTACTTAATTAGCTAAAAGTGCAATGGCTATTCAAGCAATTTTTGTATCATCTAACTACCCTTATTACTATCTTTAAGTTTTTAACCTAAGAATGCACTAATTAATTCTAAATCGTGTCTTAATTCAGAACTACCCATCCCTTGCTATAGTCCAGGAGGCTTTGGACACTATTCTAAAAGGGTGGTTCTAGACTTATAAAAAATCTTAAGTTTCTACTTCTATTCTTATTTGCATCACATAAAAGGGAGCATATTAGAACTTGAACAATTAACACATAAGGCAAGCTCAAGTTGGCCTCCGAATTAATTAAGTTGAAGGTGATAATTAAAGTAGTGAAAGGAGCTCTTAAAAATATACTAACTTTACTGATTTAGTAAAATCAATAGATAACTCAAAAAATAATGTAGTAACATAATTAGATGTGAAAAGTTGGAAAAAACAAATTTATTCCAAACTCGTAAACACCAAGCAGACCCAAATAATTAAATGGGAAGATGATTATTGAGCTCAAACCTTGAAGTGACGTGTTCATTTGGAAGAATAAGCCAAAAGTAAGGGAAAGTTTCAAAATGGGATTGTTAAATTAACGCCAAAGTTATAATCTCAGCTTTGTGATATTTAGACCAAAATACTAAACTTCTATTTTAAAGTAATGCCTAAAATACGTGAGAAACTACTTATTATTGTAAAAGACAGCTTATTTTAAGAGCCTCTATTCACTCATAATTAACTCTTCAAACGCATAGATAAGAAAAACTAATTTTACCAATTAATATGATGTGATCGAATAAAAACAAACTAAATAAGCAGGTAGTCGAATAGAGTAGGCAAGCAATATTGTCCTAAACACATAGCAAATAAACAAATTCTTCCTTTTACTATTTTTTTAATGGCATGATCTCTAGCGTTTGTTATTCTTAGAAGCATGGTTTCCACACGTTCCGATTCATGCTCTTAGCATTATACATATCAGGTTTCTCAAGCAATCAGAATTACAAGTAGAAGGCAATTATTGCAGAATGTCACCAAATTTTATCGAATTCTTACATTAAATGGACTAACTTAGAATATGGTATTTATGTGATTGAGAAACAGAGAAAGCTATTGAGTAACCAATCCTATATTCATGGTTTCCATAAAATTTAGCATCCTATTGACATGATATCTAGAATGGATTGAGTCATTTGAGCATGTTCAGATGGTGACTAAGACACATGAAAGCAGAAAGATATATTTTTTAGAAAACATCCAGCATATTAGCTAATTTAGACCTGGAGTGTGATTTCTAGCATCGCATGGAGAAACATATGTCTCATATATCATTTGGGAATGTCACGCATAAATCAGAGATCAAGCAAAGAAACGAGGCGTACCTAGCCTTTAACTTGTCATGCTTTCAATGGGATGTCGCACAGGATTCAGCCAGTCGAAGAGTAAAATAAAGTAAGAAAATCGAAAATCCGAGAATGACGAACAAATAATAACTACGAATAGCAATAGTCAGCGATATCGGATCAAAGCTAGACCGATATAGGCCAGCAATACTCTAAGTTTCTGCATCGGCTTCAAGCCAGCAGAAATGAATAATGCTAGAGAAGTCGAAAAATCAATAGCGGTACGACTAGAGAAGGTGTTATAGTAGCAAGTGTCAAAACTAGTGATGAAAAGCCATTCTCAAGATGTAAGTTGTTATGAATCAACCCCAGCCCAATAACGATATCAACAAACAAATAATTATTGGGCTGAGAAGAGCTACTAGGCCGAGAACAAGCAATAGGGCGAGGCTAATTTGGAATCCGAGTTGAGTAATGAGCCCAAGAACAATTCTATTAAAAAGAGTAGTGGTCGGTGTTTTTGGGATTATACGTATTGTTGAGAACTATGTTCTCCTCTCGTCGCTGTTCTTCTTCCTCTGGACTATCTCTTTCTGTTCTCCTTTCGCTCTCTTTATCCTTTTTCTTTGAATCTCCTTCTTATTTCTAGTTTCTGTTATTGTAATGATTGACTCTTTGAGTTTATGAATTAAATCTAGCATTTCCCTCGTTTACTTTGTGTTGTGGATTCGCGTTCATAACATTGGTGCTTTCATCGATTTGGACTCCAATGGTAGCGGTGATACTGGATAAATTCAGCAATGGCAACCTAGAGAGCAGGGTTTTATCGGAAGGAGCATTACTTCAAATTACTTGGTTTCTCCGAGGAAGACTGGTTACCTCCTCCTTACTTCTACCTTGAAGGTGAGGCCCTCGCTTGGTTTGATTGACTACATCGTAACAAACAGTTCTACGATTGGAACCACTTAAGGAGAAATTGTTTTTGCGATTTCAAAAATGGACCTTCGTAGATTCCAATAGGAGTGTGGCTGATCTGTCCCTGCTTATCATAGCTACATTAGTTATGCTACTTTGTGTCCGTTTGAAGCCCAGGTATCTCCCTTACCTGATTTGAGTCATAATTCCAAATTCTACGGGTTAGAATCTGCACTCAAAGTTGGAAACTCATAAACAAATCATGTGTTCGATGAAATGTCTACTGAAGTTTTCACCAATGTAGTAGATGAAACTTCTTCTGTTAAAGCGGCGTGGCAAAGCACAGATGTATACGTCTCTATCTCTCATGTTGTAGCTGATTTGAACGATAATCAATCACCTAAGGTGTTTGACGACATGTTACATAGTGGTTGTCCTAAGGTATTTGAAGAGGTGCAATCAAATGCTCCAATCGAACTGCCTAATCCTGAAGCTACAATTCTTGA